AACTAGTTCAAAGTCACTGCTAGTGACTAGAACTAAGACTGTTATCTTTTACATGGATGCTCTTTCCGGAAACAATGACTGCCATCATCACTGAAAACTTTGTTTAAAATTCCGGTGAAATATATGAGGACATACAGGAGGTAATTTATAAAACATTTAAACATTCTGTACCTGCTATTCAAAAATCAATATTCAAACACTACCATATTCTTTAGAAAGAAAAAGTTTACCTTTTGAAATTAAAAGTTTCAAAAGTGATTCTACAATCAAACATAATATGGTCTGCTTTTCCTATAAAAACTCTCATCTCTGATTCTAAATTTGACTTCCTTTGCCTTTCCAAACTTTTACTTTTACCCTCCAAGCATAAAAGAGCAGCCTGATAAAGAAAAGCAAAAATAGAGACTTTTAAGAATAAGTAAACAGGGGCGCCTGGGTGGCTCACTCATTAGGTGTCTGCCTTTGGCTCAGGTCATGATCCCAGGGTCCTGTGATTGAGCCCCACACTGGGCTCCTTGCTTGGCGGGAAGCCTGCTTCTCACTCTCCCACTCCCCCTGCTTGTGTTCCCTCTCTGGCTGTCTCTCTGTCAAATAAATAAATAAAATCTTAAAAAAAAAAAAAAAAGAGTAAGTAAATGGCTCAACGTTTTCTGTTTTTTTACTTCTAAAAAGGACAATAACAACTTGAAAGACATTCCTCTGAAAATTGTTTAAAATCAAAGAGATATGAATGATCATGCATCATATACAAAAGGAAAAGAAAATACACACTAGAGGGCATGCAGGTGGCTGAGCTTCCGCCTTTGGTTCAGGTCATGATCCCTGGGTCCAGGGATCCATCCGGCATCAGGCTCCTCCCTTGGCAAGGAGCCTGCTTTTTCCTCTGCCTGCCACTCCCCTTGCTTGTGCGCTCTCCCTCCCTCCCTCCCTCCTTCCCTCTCTCTCTGACAAATAGATAATAAAATCTTTTTAAAAAGAAAATACACACTATAGCTAAGTAATAACTTAGCAGAAAAGACTGGAGTATTTCCCTCTAACAGAAATCCAGTAAATTTCATTAAGTTATCCTATTAATTCTCCTCATTTTTCTCAACCTAAGACTTTTACACATTCTGGTTCATCTACCTAAAACACACATCCCACTTCATCCTACTCATCTTCAGCTCTTACTCAAGTATCATTAGTATCATTCTTACAGGGGCTTTCTCCAACCTATTCAATCTAATATCTCCCTGTTAAATTCTCTCAAGGCATATCATTCCTTGGCTCCAAAGCATTCATCATTTTTAGTATATAATTCTTTCTGTGTTTTAATGTTTATTTCCCCCAAGAGAGTATAAGTTTCATGAAGTATGCTGGTGGATTGTTTAAAAAATAATAACTTTATTAAGGTATAATTTATACACTACAAAATTCACTCTTTTAAGCGTACAATTCAACAATACCTAGTAAATTTACAAAATTATACAACTGTCACCAATTAACTGCTTGTTAACTTTGGAATTTAGAAGGAGATAAATATTTGGTGAATGAATAAATGAATCTGATAATGAGCTATTCTTATAACCCCATAACTACTACTATGTATTCGGTATACCACATGATTTCATGGCAAAACTGCCTTTATTCCATTCCATCCCATTCCAAATATCCTTCCTTAGTTCCATTTCCAGTCAAAGTCAACTCTTCTATGAGGCCCCAAATTGAACCTACTCACATATTAGCCTATTGCCTTGCTTGGGCAACACTGACTCACTCAGGTCAAGTTCATGTGTGCATACCACAATTCCTTTTTCTCTACCAAGTAATCTCCTCCTCTGCCCCTAGCCATATTAATAAAACACTCAATAAAACAAAGGAAAGTTTAGAAGCGGTCATGTTACTCACTGGTGAAGAGAGGGCCTTTATTTAATGGATGTACCTTTGTAACATTAAAATGATGGAAGTTCTTGGTATTGACATACATCTAGTTGGGTTCTAAATACAGAGTGACCTACCATATAACTGGAATCCTTTTTCAGATATCATCAGTCCCTTTGTTGTTTATCCATGTATAAAACAGAGATTTTCTAGTTCTATTTTTTAAACTTCATTATTTCATTCACTTTTAGAACAGCTTTTTAGATAAAAGAATTCATAAAATAACTTTAAAAAGCTACTTTCAAATAATCTTTTTTTTAAAGTAACAACAAAGAAACAAAAACAACCCAAAAATGAGCAAAGGACGTGAACAGACCTTTCTCCGAAGATATACAAATGAAAAAAGATGTTCAACATCTTTATGTCTTAAGGAAATGAAAATCAAAACCACAATGAAATACCAGCTCACCTCCATTAAGATGGCTATTAATAAAAAAATCAACCAACCAACCAACCAGACCAAAAAAAAGAAAAGAACTGTTGGGAGAGGATGTGGAGAAAATGGAATCCTTGTGCTTTGCTAACAGGAATGCAAAATGGTACAGCAGCCCTAGAAAACAGTTTGGATGTTCCCCAAAAAGTTAAACATAGAATTACCATATGATGCAGCAATTCCACTGCTAGATACATACCCAAAGGAATAAAAAGCAGGGCCTCAAAGAGATATTTGTACACAAACATTCACAGCGACATTATTCGTAACAGTCAAAACCTGTGTTAAAAAAGAGACAACAGGGGGCACCTGGCGGGCTCAGTCAGTAGAACATGCAACTTTTGACCTTGGGGGTGTAAGTTCAAGCCCCACACTAAGCATGGAGCCTACTAAAAAAAAGAGAGAGAGAAATAGGCAATGGGTCCAAAATGGAGTCACCTAGACTAAATCCACATCACCCAACTAAGGCTTAGTATCTACCTAACTGCCTCCCCCAAGAATGTAATCTTAACCAGTCAGTCTGGAATTTCCTGGTCAGCACTAGTGAGGTAATCTGCCTGATAGACTCTGGCTGTCCACCAAAATACGGTGACCTGCCTGAAACAACCCACTCTTTGCTAATAACTTCCTTGTCCTGCCTCCTTCTGCCTATAAAAGCCTTCCATTTTGTACAGCTTCTCAGAGCTCCTTTCGATCTGCTGAATGGGATGCCGCCTGATTCATGCATAGTTGAATAAAGCCAGTAAAACTGTTAAAATTTATTCAACCAAATTTCGTTTTTTTAACAGGGAAAAACAATCCAAATATCCATCAACAGATGAATAAACAAAATGTTGCATACACATACAGTGGAATTCAGCCTTAAAAGGGAAGTAAATTCTCATACAGGCTGTAACACAGATGAACCATGAAAACATGCTAAATGAAATAAGCCAAACACAAAAGGACAAACACATTCCATCTACTTGAAGTACCAAGAACAGGCAAATTTATAGAGACAGAAGATAGAATAAAGGTTATCAGGGGCTAGGTGTAAAAGGGAATGAGGACTTACTGTCTACAGAGTCTCTGGGAAGATAAAAAAAAGTTCCATAAATATTAGATAGTGGTAAAAAAAAATTAGATAGTGGTAATGGCTGCACAACATTGTAATTGTACTTAAAGCCGTTAACTTGTTCATTTTAAAATTGTTAAAACTGTAAATTTTGTTATGTATTTACCACAATCTTTTCCAAGCATAGCTACAGTAATTCCTATTTCCCAATATTAAAGTTAGTGTATAATGAAGGAAAAGCCATATACACACTAGAGGTTATTCATAAATGACAATAAAAACAGCTTTCATTTTACTGCTGAGCGAAAAGTCACAAGTCACAATGCATTCATTTCAGCCATTTTCTGTCCTAAAACAATGGCATTCTAATAAAAAATAAACTGTAACATTTACTTCACTCAGTGAAGAATTTTAGGACACTGCGATACGCCTTTCTGTATCTTTCTAAGGACTTGTGTCAAAAATCCCTAACTGGTGACACCATTAAATTGGAGAAAATATTGCCCTAATTTTAAAAGCAGCACAGATTAATAAAAGAGCTCCCAATGGACACAAAAATAGTACCCGTCCAATTTCATCAACAAGTAATTAGTAAATGCACAGTACCTGTGAGAAACCCAGGCCAAGAATGGCTACTGTACTTGCAAAAAGGAAATTTGAAGACAGAGCCTCACATTAACTCAGAAAGTCATTACTTCAAACTATCATTTAATGTCTGCCTTTAAAAGTGCATCCCAGTTATTTAACGTCCATAGTGTGCATTACCGAGGTTCCCGCCGTCGTTTTTAGATTATCACCTCCTTGAAAGTAAGAATGCCGAACTTGAGGTACTTTTCTCGATGATTAGACGGCATAATGCGGAACCGAATGAAATTCTGCAACTGCCTTTCTAAAACTCAGTTTGATTCTTAATTGATTACAAACAAAAGTTTACCTATTTTCACTTGTCAAGCGTGCCAGCCGATTCAATTTCCTATACCCTTATCTCGGAAAGCAGTCGCCCCACGTGAAACTTAATGCTGTACCCCCCCGGGCCTGCGTATTCAAAGTGCATTCTAGACAAGTCCCGAATGTACCAATTTTGGCTATATTCTCTGAGCGATTTAAGGAAGTCAGCAACCACTCATCTCACGTGATCTTAAAAAAGGGCGCAGTTGAGCCCAGATTAAACCTTTTTTTTTTTTTGGCATCAACTTTACCGACCAGCATCAAGGAAGTGGGCAGGGAAGTGGCGCAGTCTGGTGCTCAGAAGAGACTAGCAAACGCGTGGGTTGCTGTGCCTTGGACTTTGGGGGAGCTAGAAGGTAAAAAGGCACACCCGCTCACGCGCATTGCAGCGGCTGAAAAATCGAAGACTGCCACACCCCCCAGCAGCGCAGGCACGGTTTCACTGCATAAAGCTCGAGCAGAAAGGGGGCCCGTTCTACATCCTAGCCCATATTCAGGGCACTTCCCGCAACCCGGGCGCTCTGATGTGCAACGCCCGTGAGCACCGCGCGGGTGGGACTAGGCGCTGGGGGGCGCAGAGGGGGAGAGCCGCGGCGCCAGGCGACTCGCGCATGCGCAAATAAGGGTACCCGCCCGTTCACCTACCGTTGGAAGCGCGACGCCCCGTTCCCCGGCCGCGGCCGCTTCTCCAGGACCTGCGGCGACGGCAGTAGAGCGAGAACTGAGGCCCCAGGTGGCTCCGCGGACGGCGAGCCTCCTCCTGTAACGGCCGCTGGCAGGACGCTAAAGCGACGGCTGCGGCGCGGGGCCAGCCCGGTAAGCTACCCCCGGATGCCCCCGGCGGTGGCGGCGGCAAAGATGCAGAAGAGGGGGCAGGAGCGGCGACTGAGGAAGCAGTGGCTGAGGCGCAGACCCTCCCTAACGGCGAGCGAGCGGAGGGCGGAGGGCGGGCGGAGGCCGGGCCGGACGTGACGTGCGTGGGAGGGGGCGGGGCGAGCCCGCAGGCGGAGGCGGGGCGTCCGCGCCCAGATGGCGGGAGGTGGGGGGCGGTCCTCAAAGCCCCTGGACGCGGCCGAGCAGTCGGTGGTCTTTAGAGCCCGCGGTGTTTTTCCCGCCCCAAACATGGGCCCCTGACTTAGGGTAAGGGAACCCGGCGTGGGCCAAAAGGAGGTGTTAGGGGTCCAGAGGAGGTTGGAAAGGAGAAAACTCGGGAGGGGACGTCGGAGGGATAGAGAGAAAATCTGGAAGACCGAGGTCTCCTGGTCTCTGCAGAGTGGGCCGTGCCCTCCTGCAAGGCCAGGAAAACACAGGTGCCCTTACCCAGGTGAGGACTATGGAGACCGAGAGCCGCCAGACAGGAAGAAACGATGACTCACTTTCCCATTCCCAGCGTTGGGGGTCAAAAAGGGGATCCTGCCCACCCTCCACCCTTCCTCTTCATCTAAGGACAAGACCTATACTCCAGAAAGAACATACATGCCTCTAGTGCGGAAACCGTCTGAGAATATGAGTCGTGTTCACAGGGAGTTTCCTATACTAAAACCATAGGTTCAAAGGCAGAGCTGAAAGGAGGCATAAAGAATAGGGCGCCCTCTTAGCCTAGGGAGTCGGTACTTGCTTGCATAGCCCCCCAGATCGACCCTGCAGCTCCCATGTGCTCACGAAGGTGTGAATATTCAGCCAACCTCTTCTTTCCTTTAGGGTATTAAGGGCTTTGAGAGCTTCCATTGACTAAAACGCAGTGTTCTGTTTTTGGACTCCTTGATGGCTGGTAAATCCACACCTGCACAAAGAACTCTGGGTGTCTGTAAAAATATAAATGACCACAATTCGGTTGTCTCCTGCCTTCCTGAGGAGCAAGTCAGTAACCCAGAAAATGTCAAACAAGAACTCTCATAGAACTTGGGACGAGATTTTTTTTAAAAAAAGAAAAGAAAGTCACCCTGTGAGATGATCTGTAAATGTGTTACAGAGGCCAGGGTAGCTCCCAAATTTCATCAGAGAGTGAAATAAATCATCTGTAACTTCAGTGTCACATGCCCAGCTGATGCTGTCATAAAAGAAGGGTGGGGTCCACAAGAGTCTAGAACCAACAGAATCTGAGTAAGAAGGTATTGTGGACTCCCCCTGTGTCCAGTAGAGAGGCTACTGATTGCAATGACCAGGATCCCTAGCTATTATCAGGACAGGTAAAAACTGAATTCAAACTCACTCTCTCACTCAACAAATACTCACTGAATGCTTACTGTGTTCTATCCTCTCTGCATTCATCAGCAAATAAGATCTCTGCCTTTATTGAGTTTATATACTAGCAAACTTAAATTCTGGATATCCTTTAAGAACATGCAAGGACCCATGCTCTGATTCCATACCCGTGAAGTAGTCTTCCCATCACTTAAAGGGTCTCAAGTAAATAAACCCACTAAGAAACAATTGTCCAAGGCACATGACTAGTACTAAACTAGCTCTATACTCTTCCTCAATTAATAAATGCATATCAGTGTTCTACTTCTGTTCACTGGGTTGAATTATCAAGGTGTTACATCAAAAAAAAAAAAGTTGTCTTATCCGTCTTAATTTCACAGAGCCTGATTAAGCTTATGTGAGGTAAAATGTAAGTTTCTGAATCTTGCCAAATGGAGGACCAGACAGGCCCCGGTTTTATAGCAGCCCAATCAAGATGCAGCCTAGGTGTTCAGCCTTGCATTTTTCTTTAAACATCTTAAATGGAAGCTTTACCTGTGGTTCCATACTTGAAGAACAGAAGGGGGCACTATTGCTTCTAAAGCTTAATCATAAGCTAGTAAAACTTGAGTAAATCATTAGAGTTAAAAACCTTCCTGTACCTGCCCCACCTATGCAACACAGGCTCTTGTTGACATAACTGACTGTAATAGATACATTGCTCTGAGTATGAAACAAGACTGTAAGCTCCCAGAGGACAGAGCCTGCCTTGTATTCGTGGCCCTATTCTCAAAATATGGGCTCCCAAAAACAAATGAGTCAATTTAATGACCATTCTCCCCTGTGAAACTCAAGAACATGTCCTTAGAAGATATCTTTTCCAGATTCCATTTTATAATATGTAACCAGGGTGATATGTGACAATATGAATCCATACAAGATTCAGGAGTGTCATTTTAAAAAACAAAAACAAAAACAAAAATTTTTTTTTAATCTTTCACCATCCCATTAAACCTGGGCAGTGGGAGTAAATCTGTTATACACTTGATTCAGATGGGTTTCATGAATTCCATGGTCACCCTTAGGAATAGAAAATTCATAGGGTGTTTGAGGGGGGCCTGGATGGCTCAGTCAATAGAGCCTTAGGGTCATGAGTTTAAGTCCCATGTTGGATGTAGAGTTTACATGAAAAATAATAATAATAATAGTCCTATGGTGTTTGAGTCAAAAAGAGTGACTCTTCCCCACCTGAGGAGGTAGCTCCCTCACTGCTTGTCCTGGCATCATGCCTGATCTTTCTTGCACTCTCACAGCTTCCCAACCAGTGGCAAAGGCAGGGAGAGAGAGGAAAAGAAAGGCGAGTGGGAAAGTTCTTAACTTTCACTTTGATGTGATGGCTTAACACTTGGGCATGGTAAATGTTTAAAAGCACCCCTTTTTACGTGATGGATACTTGTATGGTTATTTCTGAAACCAGCCCCATCCCTATTCTCTGGTGCTTTCCCACCCATAGTTGCCTTGTTCTGAGCACAAACACTGTGTTTTGGCAGTTCTTTTACTCCTTCTTTCACCTGCTTGAAATCTGGAGGTTTACCTCCAACTTCTTGTCTGTTGAAACTTGTTTTTCTCCCTACGGACCCTTTCTCCCTAAGGACCCTGTCAGATAGGATCTAAGATTGCTCTCACACTGGCTCATTTGCAACTAGACCCTGTCTAGTTGTTTGTGGTGAAGCCACCACACCCTAGGGAGTGCCATTCAAATCATCCTTGTCGTAGATTTGCATCTTTGACAGTTTTCCAGCAGGTGGCAGTAAAATGTTTTGTCCAAAGTAAATTAGCATCCCTGTTTTCCAATAGATGTGGTGAAGCATCTGGATGAAAGAGAACTTCTTTCTCAGTTTAGGTTAGTGGTAGTGCTCTGTGGTCCACACCTGGTCTACATGAGTCTCTCGTGCACTTCTTGCCCAAAGAAACTGGGGAGTACAGGCCAACCCAGTGCAGTTTCAGCATTCCTCTGCTCTTTTGCCAAAACAGCTGCCAGCCCTTTTCTTGCCCTCTATATTTTCCAGGCAGGAATCAGACACAGGTCCACTGCACCTCTCTAACTACAACAGGTACATCTGAAGGACTCTGAGTAGTTCTAATGAAGGTTCCTCTCCCTCAACTTGAGGTAAAACTAAGGCAGATGTCTGGTAAGAATTCACACCATTGCAGCAACAGTTTCCAAAGAAATAATATTCTCACTTGACCTTTTGTAACTTGTAAGCATTTAGAGTTGTCTACCTGATTCTGTCTAAATTTCTAGGGCGAGTCCATTTCAGAACTCACTTTAGTTGAGTTTTTTGGAGGGTGGGGGCATTTGTTTGGTGTGTGTGTGTGTGATATCCTGGTGCTCCGGTTAAAAACAGTAGTTCCCAACCAAGGATAATTTTTGTGGCCATCCGGAGAACCTTCTATGGGCTATTGGTGCTACTGGCACCCAGCAGGAGAAGTGCTATTGGCATCCAGCAGGTAGAGGTCAAGGACACTGCTAAATGGCCTATGATGCGTAAGACAGCCCTCTCCACAAGAATTACCTGGCTGAAAATGTAACATCTTGTGACAAATACAATTTCTACACTTTACAGTCACTGTAAGTAAAAAAAAATTCAAGATTACATCACTCTTTTCTTCCTTTTGCCTCCAACTATTTTGCCTATAGATGTAGAAGTTACATTTTCACATATACTTAGTGTCAAAAACAACATTTCAGATAGCTGTTTGGCCAGGATGAGAAGTAAGTGGTGTTGCTAAGACTCCCTCTGAAGGTGAAGCCTGCCAGAAAAATTATTATTTCAGGTGAAAATTTTTAGGTCTTTCTTTGCAAGGTGACTTTGATCGCCCGGGAAAACAAAACACCTTACCCAGCTTCTGTGAGCAGAGGCTTTCGGCCCCCTCAGAAGTAAAGTCATGAGTCAAATCACTATAGAAGAAATATCTATTTACTGCAACCCCAAAACCCATTCTAGGTGCTGGGAGGACTTCAGCATGTCTGCCTGCCTGGGTCACCCATGTCACTGGGATGAGACCGAAGTTGGGAGCAGCTCTCTGTCTCTGTAGTGCTTCACAGCGGACACCCTCGTGATTCACGGAGGATGCAAACGGACCTCCCCTCAACCCCGCTGGTGGAATATTTTGATTGAATTCAGCTCTTCTAGATGTAGCAGGATGTTGGACCCTTCTCTTGTGCCTTCAGTAAGGAAACTTTAAGTGTCCTCCTCACCCTTACTGATCTCATATCTGGCCAAGACTATTAGAAGATTACCACAGAGATTAACTTTTGTTCACTCAAGGCTGCTGTTATCTTTTTTAATACAGTGTTCATAAGAAGCTGGAGGCATAGTATCCAGCAAGAGCCATAAGACATATCCCATCCCCACCCGTCCTATCACTTAAATGGTAAAAGAGCCACAACAAACATCCAGTACTTAGGAATGTCGGACCTGGAATAAGAACACTGAACTTATAATAAGAAAACTTGTATTCGAGTTCTAGCCCTTTCACTTAGTAGCCATGTGACTCTGATCAAGGTACTTAACCTAAATGCACTTAGAGTCCCTGTTGGTCAAAGAGGAAAAACCATACTGAAATGAATTGGTATGCATAAAAGTGGCTCATAAGCTGGATACTACTTTTTTTTTCACTCTTCTCTCCTGTGCCGCTTTCAGAGACCTAAAGAAGTCTCCGGAGATGTTTTGCCACCATCTGGGTTTT